AAGATGTGCAGGGGCAATAAAGCTTGTTAAATTTCACCTGGAAAGAATGTTGGAAAATTCCGACAAGCACATAAAATTTTAATAAGACTAACGATAATAATAATAATAATAATGACGATAGTATAAATTTTAAATTTCGCGCGCGCGCTAAAAAATTTCCTCCTCTTTCTTTTGCCCATTTCCAAAAAAAAAAAAAAAAAAAAAACGTTTACTTAATTATTATTATTTCTCTTTATTTAATACAAATCGCGAAAAGAGAGAGAGAGAGAAAGAATGAGAGAAAGAGAGAGGGGAGGAATTATAAATCATAAATTAGGCTACCTACTAAATTACTAATTAGAATTAATCCCAAAAAAATATTTTCACGTTAATTAAAAAACCTTGACTGTAATAAAGAATAATGCGAATTGAATCAAGGATCGAAACGATAATGATAATAATGAAATTAAATGGATGAAAGAGAGAGAAAGAGAGAGAGAGAGATAGATGGAAAAAAAATTAAAAGAAAAAAGAGACGACGTATAAGGATACAATTGCGTGGGTTCAGGTAAAAAAAAAAATGTCGGAATCATTAAACGGATGAACGGAATAAAAAAAAATTAAATTTTTTCCTTTTTTCCCCCCCCCTCCAATATTCCCCCTCTGATATTTTTTCTATTACTTTAACCACTAATTCTAATACTACTACTGCCACTACTGTTACTATTAATGCCACGTCTCATTTGTAATTAATTTAATTTAAAAAAAAAAAACTTTTTTGAAAAAGGTAATAAATAATTGCGAGTTACATAAGGATATCAATTGATAAACGGATCATCGAGTTTTATAAATTTTCCTTCTTTTTCTTACCTTATTTGAGTTATCGAATCGATTAATCGATATGAAATCGATTCGATACAACGTAATCAAAATAAAAATAAACAATTTTTTTAATTATTATTTATTTTACATTTTTTTTTTTTTTTAAATTTTATTTATTATTAGTAAATTGATCTGTAGTTTAATTTATTACTATTATTATTAATTTTTTTAATTAATAATTTTTATTACGTAATCGATCGATAATTAATTAAATAATTAATAATCGAACGTTTAATTAATTAATTAATTATTTTATTTTATTTGATGAATGCAAAAACAAATTAATAATTTTTAATTTCGAATAAATTTTTTACATAATTAAAAAAATTTTTTCAACCTATAGAAATTTTCCGGAAAATTTCACGTATTGGGAAAAAGGAAAAAAAAAAACATAGCAGAAGACATCAAAAGGAAATATTGTTAATAATAATTTATAAATTATTATTATTATTATTTGTTTTTAACGAATGTGTAAATTTTTATTAAATATATTTATTTATATTTATTAACAACCGTTATTTTTCATTTATTAATTATACGAACGAAAAAAAATATTAATAATAATGATAATAAATAAATAATTAATTTAATTAATAATAATAATAATGATGATGATGATGATGAAGGTAGTGATAATAATAATTTTTTTTTTTTTGTTTCCATCATTACAAGTAGTCATAATAAATTTACATTTTTGTATTCGTTTCGCAATTCCTTTCGAAAACGAACAAGAGAAAAAAGAGAAAGAAAGAGAGAGAGAGAAAAATTGGTAATTTTTGGTAAAAAGGTAGTGGAAGTAGTAGTGGTAGTAGTAGGCAGGTCTTCAAATCCCTAATTCTACCGCCATTAATCTTAAATTTTTTTTTTCTGGCGGTAAAAATTCCTCATAAATTTCACCGCGTTTACCACCGCGTTTAAAAATTGGTAGCGTCAAACTTACTCTTCATCATCATTATTATTATTTATATTATTATTATTATTATTATCATCATCATCATCATCATTATCATCATTATTATTATTATTATTATTATTATTATTCATTTTCGAACTACCTTTCACCCGAATTACTTTTTTTTTTTTTTGACTTTTTCCACTATATTATTAATTACAATGAAAGGCACATTTTTTTTTCCGTTAATGATACATTTCCTAATTAATAATGATAATAATAATAATAATCATAATAATAATATTTATTCACACAATTATTATTATTATTATTAATAATATTTCATTCCAAAATACTGATTACGAAAATAATTAATTAATTAATCGATTACAATAAAATTTAATAAAATAATAATAATAATAATAATGACTTTCGCATTGATTTGTTAATGATGATGATAATAATAATAATAAATTATCAAATATACAAAATTATTCAAATTACACGTTTATTTACTTATTTTTTTTCTATTTACACGTTTCGCACTTAAAAAAATTAAAAAACAATCCGAATAAAAAAAGAAAAAAAAAACCAACAACACCAAAAACAATCAAAAAAAAAATTAGTAATAATAATAATAATAATAATAATAATGATAATGATAATAATAATAATAATAATAATAATAATAATAATAATAATAAAATTTAAAATAAAAAAAATTATAAATCGTCACTTTATTAAATTACGCGTCGCCGAATTTTTTTTTTCTTGGCGATGACGAGGTGACGATGACGACGAGGATGACGTCGATTATGTGAATAAAATTGTGAAAAACCAACGAATGCCAATAAAATAAGATGATGATAATAATAATAATAATAATTAAAATAGTAATAAACCTTTCGTGTGATAAAAAAATGCAAAGCGTATGTCAAAAGAGTCAAAATTTTCTTCTGCCCCTTTTGTTTCCTGAACGCCCCCTCCCTCCCTCCATACCCGTTTTAAAATCATTTCGAATTTTTCTTTTTTTCCGTCCCCCTTTTCCCTCCTCCCCTTCCCGCGAGCAGTTGCAATTTTTTTTTTTTAAAAAAACCAAACCCGAAAAAAAAACAAGCGTTGTTTTTGTTTTGTCGTCGTACCTTCCGTACTTTTATTTAATTATTATTTTCATAGAGTAAAAATAAAAATGGCGTCAAGTATTCGTCATTTCCGTTTTGGTTTTATATGAAATGAATTTCTCGAAGTTTTTTTTTTTCCTTTTTGCCAATTGTGCCTTTGTAACGATTATGTAATCAAATTCGAACATTAAATCCAAACCTATCTGCTCATCTATTTCAATTGTTAATCTTTTACCTCTTGAACCACCTGACAAACAAACAAACAAACAACAACAAACATATTTGATGCGGATAATAACGTGTCACGAACGAGAGGAATATAAAAAAAAATACAAATCAAACTTAAACCTACTACAACTACTACGATGTATTAGAAAAAAAAAAAAAAATTAGCAGAAAAATGTTTATAAATCAATAATCGGAAATTATTTGTTTAAACAATTTTTTATTTATTTATTTATTTATTAAAACCTTAAGCCGACAGGTACGATGCGTAAATAAATAAATAAATATTTATACGCAATTGTTATTTACGAACTCGTTTATTAATCGACCGTATATGGATGATTTTTTTTTCTTTTTTTTTTTGAATAATCGCCGAGGATTAAATTTATTAATAATAATAATAGTAATATTAATAATAATGATAATAATGATAATAATAATAAAACGTGTTTAAATGCAAATAAGTAAAAAAAAAAAACTGTTGAAAACATTGGTTAAAAAAAAAAAGTAGAAGAAAAGGTAAAGAAGTAGTGAGTTTGAATTTGTTTTTTTTTTTTTCTTCAGACAACAAACAGAAAACAATTCTAACATGTTGTTGTTGTTGTTGTCGGAATAATTCTTCTTGGAATCTTTCTATCATTTCACCGAAACGCTTAAACAACCGACCACCTTCTTAAAAAAAAAAATTCACGTTGTTGCTACTGGTATTTCGCATCTATCCTACCTCCTTCCTTCTTTCCTTATTTGTATTTTTGTTTGTTTGTTTGTTTGTTTCCGATCATTTAAAATCCTCTTAAAAACCCATCGATTTGAACAACAAAAACAACAAACAATTTCATTTTTATAAAATTATTATTATTATAACCGACAAAAAAGAAATTGCTTGAAAATTTCTTTAAAAAAAAAATTGATAATTTGTAATTTTCTAAATAAAAAAAAAATTTGACGACGACGACGATGATGATAATGATGATGATAATAATGATAATGATCGGTCTCTATTAACCAATAAAATGATACCTTCCAGTTATCATGTTTTGTAAATTACAAAAAAAAAAAACAAAAAATATGTCGCGAGTTTTTTTTTTAAATAAAAATTCAATACTTACGACCCTTGGGGAAATTTATGGAATCACAAAAGATATTTCCTACGCGCAATTTCCCTTCCCCCTCCCCCTTCATCCTCCCCAACTCTCTTTATAATAATGAAACAAACATGGTAGGGCAAAAATTTCCCGGAAACCGTAACATAAAAATTATTTATTTTATAATATATATAAATAAATAAATAAATAAATAAAAAACATGTGCATCGCGTGATGCATAATTCAAATTAATCAAAAATTTTTTTAGAAAAAAAAAACCGGTAATTTTCCGTACGGCGACACCACCTCTCATTGTTTCTTTTCAAATTTTTTTTTTTCAGGTATAATATTCAGGTATAATATATTAGAAAGAAGAAATAAAAAAAAAAGGTTATTTATTAGTTTTTCGAACTACCACACCGTTTACGTACGTAGGTGTCTAAAAACAAAAAAAAAACAAAAGATGAATAAATTGATCCAGAATATCATCATCATCATCATCATTTCTAAAAATCGAACACAGAAAACTTTCGAAAAATTCATTTACTTAGTCTGATTATTATTATTATTATTATTTAGAGAAAACAAAACAAAACAATAAACAATTTATGTGTTAAAATCGCAGGTTAAAAATCCGTTATTGTATTAACTTCCTGTATTTTCCCTTCCCTTTCCTTCGCTCCCCTCTATTCCCCCCCCACACGCGATACCTTACCGAATCGTTCAGGTGTAAAAATAAAACTAATAATAATAATAATAATAAAACGCAAATGGCGATTATACGTGATTTTTCATTCGAAATCTAATAGGCACGTTTCATTTTCTAGAAAGATCTGCAGCCTCCTGTTCAGTATCGCGATTACTCGAACAGGGTGTCGCAGAAAGAACAGGAAATGGTATCGTTATTAATTGCTGTTGTCTAGAATTTCCGTGACTTCTGCTCGACGAACCAGCACCACCACCACCACCACTGCCGGTTCCTCCTACAACATAAAAATAAAAATGAAAATAATGACAATAATAATATTTATCAACGATGTTAATTATGTTGTTTGTATTATGAAAAAAAAAAAGTTTGAGATGGTTATCGCCATCTTTCTAAAGTTACGTTCGAGATAAAAAATTATTACTCATTATTTCACACGACAAATAAATATTAAAAAAAAACAACGACAACAGCAAAAAAAACACAAAACACAAAACATAAAACATAAAACATAAAACTTCACGTCGTTTGAATCGTTAAAAAAAAAAAATTTAAAACTTCAAAATGCTGAAAAGTTTATTTAAAAATAATAATAATATTAAAAACACGTGAGAAAAATCGTTAAAATTATCAACATTCGACCTCGTTTAAAAACACAAAAGGGGGGGTGGGGAAAAGAGAAAAACAAACCGGAAGTTAGTCAATCAAATTTGATATAATTTACATGCCAACAGACCTGGATCTACTTGATGGCTAAGGCTAAAGATGACACCGTTTGGAAGTGACGGAGATGGAGCAGCGTACATCATTCCGTTTGATGTTTGGTACAAGACCCTCGGATAACCCCCCCCGGTCGACACGAGACCAGCTAAACAAATAAAAACCCCTTTAAAATAATAAATTTTTAATTTTTCCCCGAGGGGGGGAAATCACCAAACGCAACCCGAAGGAAGAGAGGGGTAAAGGAGAGAATCACAAATGTGACGTCCCGCGATTTTTCTTTATTTTTTTCCGTCCGAACCCGGAGGGATTTCCGCGATTTAAAAAAACAAAAAACGTACCTGAAATCACCGCTTGTGATGTAGAAGAAGAATTGATAATTTCTTCACCGTTGACTCCCGATTCTTCGGGTGACGGTGATTTACCATCATCTTCTTTTTCAATTATTACGGATTCGGGCCCACTTCCGCACGAGTCACCATCACCCACGCTATTTTCATCTTCCGATTTGATGGAAACGTCATCATCCTGAAAAGAGAGAGAGAGAAAATTAAATTAAATTAAAATCGTACTTTTTCTTTTTTCTCGTGCAAAAATTCTACAAAATAAATAAGAAAAAAAAGAGTAAAATTTCAATTTCGATTCTAGTTCCACGTGAGGATACCTGAATATTTTTTTTTAAATTTATTTTTCCATTCTAATTAATTCTAACGTAATAATAAAATTTAAGAAAAGACAAAAAAAAAAAGTATTTAACACAATGATGACAAACAATTTTTCGACTGACGCCACTTTTAAATAATTCATTTCGTGTCGTCATTGAGTCGAGGTTTTCGGCATACGATACCAAGCCTCACCCTTAAGACGAAAAATCGATAATAAATCGATATGAATCGATAATTTATTTTTCCAATCGATAATAAAAAAAAAAAGCAAGCAAGCAAGTGGTTACACATAAGTAAAACATTAATATTTAAAAAATACACAAATTTCCAGAAGTTTTGTTTACAAACGTCGAAAGGGAATTTCCGGTGAATTTCGTATGCCCATACGCACGCACGCACTCAGGCAGGCACTAACGCACACCTCAACCTGCCGTGCCTAATAAAAAAAACCCCTCGACAATTAATCATTAATTAATTTTTTTCTTTTCCAGGAATCCAAAACAAAAAAGACATCAAACGTTGTGTCAGAAACAGGTTTAAATTTTTTTAAAAATTGGCAACGTTGCATTATCCCGAAAAAATTAAAATCCGATTCCCCCTTAAACGTTAATTTATTATTATTATTATTATTATTATTATTTCCAGACAAGAAACGACAATTTTTGAATGAAAAAAAAAAGAAAGAAAAATCGCAAACAGACACACCAGACACTATCGAGGGTCGATAATTAGTCTTTTTTTTTTTCATTTATAATGTGAGGACTGGAGACAAAAGACAAACGCAAACAAACACAAACAGACAAACACACACACGCTTTATTTATAAGCAAAAAAAAAAAAAGAAACAAGAACAACAACGATGATAACCATTAGGAAAAACTTGATGTTTGCTTATTATCACAACACAAGCTCTCAACGACCGCCCGTGGATACATAATAATAATAATATTTTTAAAAAAATTTATGTTAATAATAATGATAATGATAATAAAACAAAGACGAATATTAAGTTGCACATTTCCATTGAATATGAATGCGAAAAAAAAATCCAAAGAGAGAGAGAGAGAGAGAGAGAAAAACCAATAAAAACGTTTTTTTTTTAACACCCTCCATGTTCATTTTGAAACCCATTAGCAAGTTTGTTACTTGTCACCACCAACGTTCCTGGTTCATGCACACACCAATGGATGAAAAACCGGATGGATGGTGTGCGAGACCATCAGGTACGTTAGGTGATAACACCCAAGGACGATTTTTTTTCACTCGAAAAATCTCTTTTTGATTTATCGATTGCATATGTCGTAGCAGTCGATCGAACAAATCGATGCGTGTGTGCGACATTCTATAAATCTTTTCGAAAATAATAATAATGATAATGATAATGGTAATAATAAAACCCACGCATTAATAATAAAAGCAATAAAATAAATAAATAAATATATACGCGCGCACGCGCACGAGTCGTCGTGAAATATTTTAAAATAAAAAATTTTTTTCCTTATCAATTCGTTTATCTATTGATGAAATTCCTTCTTTTCATCCTTATCACCTTTTTCTATAAATTTTCCCATTTCCGGATAATTTTTTAAAAGCATTTTCCACATTTTCCACAATTTAAAAAAAAAAAAAAAAAGAAAAAAACACGAAGAAATATTTAAGTTAAGTGAATACAACAATTTTTTTTTTCATTTCGTACGCAAAAGTTTTTCAATCCTAATAATAATAATAATAATAATAATAATAATAAACCTGGTGGGGGTGGAGTAAAGATCTTTTAGGTCAAAGAAACTATTTGTCAAGGTTTGGGGAGCGGTTATCCCGAAGTAAAAGAAAAAAAAAAAAAAAGGGAAATAGTGAATGAGTGAGTGAGTGAGAGGGAAAAGGAAAAACACGATTATAATAATTATAAAGCCGTTTAAACAAAATAATAATAATAATAATTTAAATATCAGGTATTAAAAGGTTGACAATGCAATGAACGTGAAAAATAATAATAATAATAAAAAAGGCAAGGTTGAAAAATTTTTCTTTTCTTTCTTTCTTTTCCTTCTTCTCTTCGCCATTTTAAGTAAAAAATTAGCAAAAAAAAATCTGTCGACCTGTACCAGACGAGTGAGTACCTCAAGTATCAGTGATAAAAATTATCATTATTATTATTATTATTATTTTTTAATTAAAAATTCTTCTCGGACGAAAGAAACCCACAAAAAAAAAAAACTCAAAAGTTTCCCTCGAGGAATCGGAAAAAAAAATTTTTTTTTTACGGTCATCCATCCATTTGCATTATTATTATCATTATTATTTTTTTTCCGCCATTAACTCTATTTATATATGTAATTAAAATTAAAAAAAAAAAAAATTTTTAATTTCCATTTTTGCTTTTCTTTCTTTCTTTTTTTTTGACTCTTTTCCTTTCTCCGATCCACGCCCGCGCTTTTCATATCTCGAAACGTTAATAATAATTAAAAAAAACACCCTCGAGATTAAAAACCTGAATTCCGCAATAACAACAACAACAAAATGGCGGGAAATTTGAAATTTTTTGAACGAAAAAAAAAAAAAAAAACCTTTTAGATTCGTTGGGGTACTAATTAATTAATTAAAAAAAATTTCCTTGAAAACCGTGGGGGGGTTTTTTTTTTTTCCCTTTTTTTTTTTTAATTTTTTTTTACCCGGAAGTACAAAAAAAAAAAGTCCGGGTTTAACCCGTCGGGCCTTTAAGGTGGTGGGGGGGGATCCAAAAAAAAAAAAAAAAAAAAAAAAAAAAAAAAAAAAAACAATGAAATCCGTTTATTGAATGCAAATAAATCGATTTTCGTACGATGACATTATTATTATTATCATTATCATCATCATCATTTATGCGAAGTCGAACGGATCGATTCATCGATTCATCGATCGATCGATTTATGTCATTTTTAATTGTGTGCTACCGAACGGGATTCTTTTTTTTTTGGGTTTTGCCCATCCGAAAAAAAAAAAAAAAACCATCCGGAACCGGAAATGACGACCGACGGACGATTCGTGTGACTGGGTCAGAGTACAAACTAAATAATGAATGACTTCGTGTCATACAACAAAAAAAAAAAAGTATGATTGAAAAATGGCTCCTTCCTTTCTTCCTTTTCTTTTCCTCTTTTACCACCGATACCTTCCCTCTCTCCCTCCCTCCTTTCTTCCCCCCATTTTAAATTATTTCGTCGCACGTATCCAGGAACTCAAATCGCCATTAATTCGTGAATGAAATCTAGAAAAAAAAATGATTCGAAAATAACAATAGTAATAATACTAATACTAATACTAATACTAATACTAATAATAATAATAATAATAATAATAATAATAATAATAATAATAATAATAATAATAATAATAATAATCAAACGAAGCAGAATTGATTAGAAAATTTTTTCAATGTCTCCGTCGGATTTATTAACACTTAATTAACTTCAAACTATAGATTAATTAGATAACGTTGCTATTTAATAAATTTTCATCATCATCATCATCATCATCATCATCATAAATTTTTTTTATTATTTTCATTCTTTAAATTTCGATTCTTTTTTCATTCTTCTACTTATTATTATTATTATTGACGTGAAAGAACTTTGAATCGTGCGATATCTTATTTAAAAAGCAGAACAAAAAAAAAAAAAAAGAAAAACAACAACAATTAATAACAACAACAACAAACGAAAACTGCTACAAACAAAGGCAAACGATGACTATGAGGATTTTTAACACATTTTTAACATTTGCATGACCTGATTTTACAATAATAGAAAAAAAGAAACGTTTCGGTGGAATAAAACGTTTCCTCTTCCGTCAACTACAACCACGAATCGATCGAAGAGATATCAGGGCTCCCCCTGACCCCTCTGACCCTCCCCCCGGTCAGGGTCATTTTCCGCAAAATGCCATTTTAATGCCAAAAAAAAAAAAAAAATTTCCCCGAAAAAAAAAAGCCGGAACAAAAATTTTTTCAAACGAAAGCGAAAAATTTATTAATAATAATAATAATTTTATTTTCGCAGAAAGGTGAATAAACTTTTTAAAACAACGATAACCTTTTAAAAAAGTCCAAAAAAACGAACAACGACGTAAAATATAAAAAAAAAAAAGTAATAATAATAATAATAACTTGACGCACGTTCGTCGAAAAAAAAAAAAAAATGGCACGATCATCGAAATTCCAAGAAAGCGTCACACGCGCGAAAAAAAAAAAAAAACTCAAAGGGTAGCCCAAATTCACATCACACTGATAAGGAGAATCGATATCAGCAAAAAAGTACAGGCCACGATAACCGAGGTCAATATGATAAGTAAACACTGACTCGACATGTATGTGTGTATGCAAGCAACTGCGAACGGGTACTCGAAACAAAACCAAATCGTATAAAAAAAAAAAGAAAACACCAAAACAAACAAACAAACACACAACCATAGAGATAAATATGGTATTATTATTATTATTGTACTGACCAGCGAAAATAAATCATACGATACCAAACAGGTGTTGTTTGTTGGTTGGTTGGATCGGTAGAAAATCATGCAAAGTATCTCTTTTCCCTTTCTTTCCTTTCCTTTTCTTTTCATTCCCTCCTTATTTATCCTCTTCAAGTACAAATTAAGTCACGACAGTTTTGGAAAACAATTCCAAAAACGAGACGACAACAACAAACAACAACAAAAAAATCCGTTAAATAAATAAATAAAAAACCTTATAATGCAAAATCGATGACACACACACACAGAAACATCTACAACCGGGATTTTATATGGATATTATTTAATATTCTTATTATGGTTGGTTGTTGTCGTAACAACAACAACAACAACAACGACAACAACCTCAAAGGGCTTTGATTTATCCGAAGGTTATTGTTTTGCTATTTAATGTTAACGACCGCGAAAGTTTCTCTATCTCTATTAACGACTTCCTATAACTTTGTCTCTTTTAATTATAGTCTTCTGCCACGTCTATTTCACCCTTTAATATCTCTCTCTCTGTACTTAACTACTAAACAAAATTTTTGTTCCGAAATAATCTCAAGACCGAGCGAAACCAAAAAAAAATAGAAAAAGACTCTGGAATGCAAATCATGGAAAAACAAAAATGGAAAATTCCAAAACGATAACCGAGATAAGGAAA